TATGATTGAGCAGCAGCTGGTGCAACACAGAGGTAAAAATGCTGATTAAAGCATCTAAAGGGTGAGTTGGGGGCCATGATCAGTTTAAAAAATTGTGTATGATTGAAACATATAGAGCGATCAGAAATTGTGAATCGATTAAGGATTGGGAAGGTTTAATGGTATGGTAGCGAATTATTGGAATGAAGAATGCATAAACAACTGGGTATCACTGAGTAAATGAATGGGAGCTTTTATTTGGTGTATGTTATGAGTTTGTGTTGTTTCATGCAAGAGCGTGGGTTTGATTCTAGAGCAGTCACTTCGTGCAAATGGTGCAGGAGGTAGATCTGTACCTGGTTTATCCCTCCTAGCCCCTGTATTGGCAGGATCAACACTTTCTAATGGTGTTTTCCTTTTTTAATGCAAGCAAATAGAGTCTCTTTAGAAAATTTTCCTCATCCATGTGCATGCATGTTTTTTGCATAGAAATTAATAAGCATATGTAAAAACATAATCATAATGACTCATCTTCTCCTTCCGTGCTCACTTAGAGAAAATTTTCCAGTATTTTTTAATTTTTTGGTGAAAATATGGTCAAAATTTTAAACGTGGTTTGTAATACTTAACACATTTGCATTTGGGAGTTCTGTATTGGGCTTTTTCCATCCATTAGGCTGGCTTTCTTTGACAATGAAACTACCATTGAATTTGAATCTGGAGAAATGGTTAAGTTCTTGAGGATGCAAGATGTCCATTAAGGAGGTGTCCTTGCATTTGTTGTTACACAGGTTAGCATGGGACCTAGATGGATTGCTGTGGTTTTCAGGAAGGGATGCATAATTTTAAGATTGGGAGGCTGGGACAGAAAAGTTTTTTGGCAAGTTCGCATTAATATTGATAGAAGGTGAGAAGACTTGTTATCATTGCTGAGATTGATTGGTATAGTCCCAATAAGATCCTTTATGAGCATTTTGGAAGTTGTGAGAGTGGTTTCTTTCAATCTGAGCATTTTGTGGAGGACCATTTGAATGGTAGGATAGCATGAAAGATTTATGGTAATCTTATTATTTAGTTGCACGTTAACTTGATAGTTAGAAGCGTCTTTTGTCATTGATGGAGTTTGTCGGGCAACACCCATATTCGAGGAGGATATGCTTGCTGGATGACAGTTCAATTGGGAGAGGGATTAGAAAGTTATTTCATGTGGTTGCTTTGATACCTGTTAGAAATATACGTATTTTGCAGAGTCATGAACTTTCCATCTATAAGATGAAATAATTATTTCGGTACTTTGCTTCTTTCAAGCTCCTGTTCTTTGTCGCTTTTTATTATTTTTTGGATTTCTTGTATTATTGTTTGTCAACTAGCACTTGGAGTTGTATATTTTTGCGTATAATGGGCCTTGCTCTTGCTTTCTATATATATATATATATTTTTTTTTTTTTTGATAAGTAACAATAAATTAAAAAAAGGCGTTCAATAGGGGAACGCGTCTCGTAGACATAAGAGAAACCGGTATCTAAGGCCCCAAAGAATCCAAAAAAGAAATTAAATCATCAGAAGAGGAACAAGAACTTCTGTTCACATAACTGAAGAGAGAACGAATAATAAAAAGTTTCAATGTCGTTGTAGATGACTCATTTCCTTCGAACATTCTACTATTTCTCTCCCTCTAAATGCACCACCAAATACAATGTGGTATAGATCTCCAATAGTCACGAACACTCCTACTCACACGACAACCTCTCCAAGCATGAATCAGCTCCTTAGTAGAATGTGGCATTACCCAATACATGCCAAATAGCCTAAGAATAAGATTCCAGCAGTCGTGCGCTATAGAACAATGCATTAGGAGATGATCGATTGACTCCCCATCCTGCTTACATATGCAACACCAATTAACAAAATAATTTTCCCTTTTCCTCAAATTATCGATCGTCAGAATCTTACCCCAAACGGCGGTCCATACAAAAAAAAGACCACCCTAGTAGGAGCCATAGAGCGCCATATAGTCTTCCATGGAAAATCATAGGGTGCAAAATTAGACAAACATAAGAACAAAGACCTTACTTCAAAACGACCATGAGAAAGGGAATCCAAATCAAGTTGTCATAACCCCTGCCAATTCCTTCCTGCCGATACAATTGATCCAAGAAAATGCTCACATCTTCTAACTCCCAATCCTGAAAAACGCCAAAAAAGAACATTCCACGTAATTCCACTATTATCAAGCTGATAATAGTTAGCTACGATGGCATGTTTATTAACTGCAATACTATATAATCTGGGAAAAGTATGACATAAAGGTTGATTCCCACACCAAAGATCTTCCCAAAAATGAATGCAACTTCCATCACGAACTCTGAATCTAGCATGAGAAGAAAAGGCATCCCATCCTTTCCGAATGGATTTCCAAGCCCCAACTCCTCCCGCAATAGAAACCGGACGTGTAGTCCATCCGCCAACATCATCCCCATACCTGCAAGAAACTAATCTACGCCAAGGATGGTGTCTTTCCTTCCCATATCTCCACAACCATTTGCCTAGAGGAGCTTGATTAAAAGGAATCAATCGTCTAATACCGAGACCCCCCAGTTTTATAGGCTTGCAAACTTGCTCCCATCTAACAAGGTGATACTTGAACTCTTCTACCCTTCCTCCCCAAAGGAAATTCCTTTGAATTTGTTCAATTCTCTCAGCATCGGAGCATGGAATTTGGAACATAGAAAGAAAATAAGTGGGAAGGCTTGATAAAGTGCTTTTGATAAGAGTAACTTTACCCCCCTTTGACAAATATTGCTTCTTCCAACCTGCCAACCTCTTTGCATACCTATCAATCACAGAATCCCAGCTCCCCACTAATCTGGAAGAAAACCCTAGGGGCAATCCCAAGTAAGGGATAGGAAAGGAACTCACCCTACACCCAAGAACTGCAGCTAGAAAAGAGATGTCCTGAACATTCCCGACCGGAACAAGCACACTCTTGGCTATGTTAACCTTTAGCCCGGAAACTGCCTGAAAGCAAGCTAGAATGCATCTCAAATATCTAAGTTGAGACACATCTGCATCACAGAAAACCAGAGTGTCATCTGCAAATAACAGATGAGAAATCTCCACCCGATTTGCAATATCTCTTCCCACCCGAAATCCTTTGATGAGACCAAGATTCTCTGCCTGACGCATAAGTCTGCTTAATCCCTCCATAACAATAAGAAAAAGAAAAGATGACAATTGATCACCTTGTCTTATACCCCGAGAGCATCCAAAAAAACCAGCTGAAGAACCATTCACAAGAATTGAGAACTTAACAGACGAAAGACATGTCTTAATCCATGTCCTCCATCTACTTCCAAACCCCATTATTTGAAACAAATAGAGAAGGAAATTCCAATTTACACGATCATAAGCTTTCTCAATATCAAGTTTACATAGAACTCCAGGAACATCGTTTCGCAACCTTGAATCCACACATTCACCGGCGATAAGAACTGAATCAAGAATTTGCCTTCCTCCAACAAAGGCATTATGAGAATCTGAAATAATCCCATCCATAACTTCTCGCATTCTTTAAGCAAGCACCTTAGCTATAAGTTTGTAAATACAACCCACTAAGCTAATAGGACGAAAATCCTTAATATTTGAAGCGTTTCCCTTCTTAGGGATGAGGGCAATAAATGATGCATTAAGCGATTTCTCAAATACACCTGTAGAATGAAACTCCTGAAAGGTACTCATCACTTCATTTCTCACAACCGCCCAACTTTCGAGCAAAAAACGCATAGTAAACCCGTCAGGCCCCGCGACTTTATCCCCTTTGCAACTAGATAAGGCCTTTAGAACTTGATGAATGAAATCTTATTCTTCTGACATCCGTTAGGTAAATTTGATTAGTGGATGTAGCTACAACAGACGTATTTTTTAGTATTACTGGTCAACCTGAGCAAACTGAACTTTGTTGGTGAAACATTAAACCATCTTTTGGTTGAACAACTTGTTCAGTCTACTGAGTTGTCCTTCAACTCCACCTAAAATGTGAGCTCTAGCTGTTGGCTTTTGTCTTAATTCAATTGCAGACATGCAGAAGTTTTTTCATCACCATTGTTTGCATTGACAATGGCGTGGGAAGAACTAGTCATTTATGTGTATGTATGTTGTGTATGTATGCCAATATTTGTATTTATTGATATATTTGTTATGACTCATTTCCTCTAGCCTATGCTTCCTAAATATTTTTTTAGTACAATCAAACTTTTTATAAATTTTGTGTTAGCTTTTAATTTGATTTTTCATTAAAAATTACAATTTTACTTCTTTTCCATCCGAAAGAAAGTCACCCAATGTCCAAAGTTTATCAGCCATATTTTAATGAGTGCTTGACGAGTGTTGGCCACGTGTCTGTTATTTAAAACTTGTTGTTCGATTATGAGCATTTTGAACATATTTCAGACATATGTCCACGAGTGTCTAAGAATAATTATTTTAAGATAATTGGAAGCTTTTTATATTTGGAAGCGTTTGAACTAAAACCATTTGTTTTCCATCTCTTTTTAGCATTCATAGTCTCCCACAACATAATCATTTTAAGATAAGCATGCTTGAATAAAAGTGGTCATAGTGGGAATTAGCTTATCTTCAAGAAATGAGTATAAGTTTGTGTATAAATGTGATGGCTTCTTTCCTTTGATTCAGCTTTAATCCTCCATTCACTCAACTCCCATGGAATTAACATTTTGAAACATATCAAGCTTTATATGATTTTTTTTGTAGTGTCGTGACTATAGTTTAGTTTTGCTTATATTTGTTACTGGGTAGAAATGTTTATGAAGCATTTATTGTTTTTGGTTTCAGGGTCCGGCGAACAGGCGTGGTTTGTGTGCAACGTGCCATGGAGAATTTAGAGATTGTCCTGGACACTATGGATACTTGACCCTTGCTTTGCCGGTTTATAATGTTGGATATCTAAGTACTATTGTGGACATTTTAAAGTGCATTTGCAAGGTAACCTGCTTCCAATCTTTTTTCCAATTTTTTTTCCTTGTATATGTTGCTGTTGACTTGCAACTACTTGAGATATTCGGATTCGGCTCCTCTCAGTTAAAAGCTCTCTCTGGGCATCTACGAGTACAGCATCTACGGTTCTGAGATCCGCCACATCATCATCTTAAAATAAGGCCCAAGCACTGTCATTGTTCTACCCACTTGACGTTACCGTCATCTTCAAACGGTGACTTCAAAACTTCTCTTCTAACTGTTCTAAAAAGCTAAACCTAAATCAATACCAAACACAAATCTGTTTTGGGTCCTAGCGAAAGAGCAACATCAATGATGACTCGATAATGGAGATTGCACGGTGGTGATAGCCTTTGCATCAGACGTACGTACAATCTCCATTAATTCTAGAACCCTGATTACCGCTGCACAATATCCATTATCGAGTTTGGTTGAGCGATGATGCAGTGCAGGGAGGGAGAGAAAAGCTCTCAAATTTCAATTCTAGAACCCTGATTATATCCAACCAATCACATGTTATTGTCAGTAATCCAATTCTTGTTTGATTGCCAACTATTACCTTTTTTCAACCAAAAGATTTGGAATTTGCTTCTACTATTTTTCATGAAACTTGCTTTTTACTAGTTGGCAAAGACTTGTGAGGAACTTGTTTTCGCTGCGTAGGCAAAAGATTTAGAACTTAATTTACTCTATTAAAAGAATTGAAGCGGCCAACTTGCTAAGAGAATAGAGAATGGAATATGGGAGGTGGAACCTACTTGCAACCGAGTACCAGGATTCGTTTTTTTTTTTCTTACTGTTTGTGCCCATGTGTAGTTGGAGGAAGATTTGTGCTAAATTACAATGTATTTTGGCATGTAATTCATAATTTTTGAATGCTTTCTTTATCTTATTTAGTACTTACCAAAAAAAAAAAAAAAAAAAATTTATAATTTTTGAATGTTAATGATGCTTTTAAAAGCTTTTTGTTCATATTTTTGGTATGAGATTCGTGTAATATTTGAATGAAAATGGTTGAGTGTTCTGATTGCTACAGAGCCTACAAAACCACACTTCATAATATGTAATACACATTTAGAAGTTGTCAAATTCATAAACAATGAAACAAAGTGATTCAGAAAATTTTAAGTAACTCGATTCAACATGGTTGTCACTAGTACATTGAAAACATTAAATCTTCTACAACATTGCAAAATTTCAATTCAAACAATGGAAAAAAATTGTCCAGTAAATAGGAGAAGACCAACAGCCAAAAACTAAGAGCAGCAACTTTAAAGACTAGTGCTGTTATTTTAACCAAAATCTGGAGTAAATAGGAGAAGAGCAGAAGCCAAAAATATATATATATATATATATATATTTCAAGAATGCCGTAGACGCCTCTAGACCCTCTACTCCCTCAAAACATCTGTTATTCCTCTTTCCATATGCACCACCATACGCAATGTGGAACGGTCCGCCAACACTCATGAGCCTGACCCCCCACGTGACATCCCCTCCACGCATCAATCATACCCCTTGTGGATCGGGGCATCACCCAAGAAATGCCGAACAATCCGAAAATAAGATTCCAACAATCGTACGCCACAGGGCAATGTAAGAGTAGATGATCCGTAGACTCACCACCCATTTTGCGTAGGCAGCACCAGTTAACAATAATAATGCTTCTCTTCCTCAGGTTATCCAATATCAAGATCTTAACGCCAAACGGCAGTCCACACAAAGAATGCCACCCTAAGAGGAGCTTGGAAAGTTGGATAACCAGGAAGGAAAATAATGGAGACAATAGCCATTCATTACGAGAGAAAAGAAAGGAAATGAGATGGTGTTAATCTTTCCTTGTGTTTAGAGAAGTACAAAAGGGAGAGAAAGGTAAGGAAAGGAAAAGGTTGTTTTATTTTGTGAGTAATAAGGGCAAAGATTGGAATTCCCTTGTTTAGAAATGTAGGTGGTAATCACTCTCTCTTTTACCCTTCCAAAATTTTCTACCTTAGGAAGGATAGCGATAAACTATTCAAAGTGTTTGGCTCTCCCCTCCTCTCTCTGAATCTGTTACTTCCCCTCCTCATTTTTAAAACAAATACGTAATTTCTATATACCTTCAAGTAATGGAAGGATTAATTTATCAATGTCCTTTCCACTTTTAAGTGTTATCCAGTGGTTATCTTTTTTCTAGAGCATGTGTCTGCCTATTATGCAAATGCTAAAATGGCACCTCCCTCACTACAAACTCTCGCTACAAGGGCATCCAGTCTCCTTTGAATTTTGGTATCTTGATGCCATTGCACCAAGCTCCTTCGAAAATTGTCATTTGGTAGATCATCTAATCCAATTTGGAGTGTATATGCACTAATTATATTGATCTTGTCCTCACCCACCCAAAAAAAAAAAAAAAAAAATCCAATTCCTTATGTTTTGTCTTTACTTGCATGCCAATGTTTATACCTTTCAATTTCCCTTGATATATTACCTACCCTTAGTTTCATGTAAACGTGCCAACGAAATCACTCGAGTTCTTTTGAGAAGCTTTCTTTTGTTCTTTTTTCCTACCTTGGTAGATCTTACATTTGTGTGGTACTTTGATCATGGCTTGATTGGCCTGTAGCTCTCTTGCTGCATCGATTGATTGACTTGTTGAAAATTGTTTTATCTAAATGTATGCAGTCTGTCCTTTTAGTTCTTCCATTCTATCTTCAAAGTTTCATTCGTCACATTGATTTGTTTCATGAATATTTTCCTGAAACTCTTGGCTTGATTAAATCTGTCTGCAAGCCTGTCATTATTATTTTTTTTTATAACTCATCCATGTCAAGACAGAGCTGTTTGAGAAATGCCCTTTCCGATACCAAGTTGGTGTAACTAATTGTTTTTACTAGCTAAAATGCTGTAGTAGTTGCTTTGTTGCCGTTGAGCAGGGCAGCTCACTAGTACTTGCCACAAAAATCAATCCCATGTCTGTATAAATGGGGACGACAATTAGTGGAGATCATGTAGCAGTGCAACTGGATAACTATCTAAGACCTTAGGGTAGGTGGAGGCATCACCTCTGTTTATACGAACATAATGATATTGGGTGGATAAAATTGTAAGATCTTTCCGATAGATCACTATAAATTCCATGGATATTAAGTAGCTTTTAGTTGAATGCAAGACAAAATCATCACTACAAATAGTTACATTACAGATTGACTCAAACAAGTCAAAGAACATGACGTTTGTATGATTTACAATGCGGTGGTATAGCCAGTTAAAGAATGTGTAATGTTTTGTCTGAAGTATGCTTTGATTTAAGTGACTGACATTGTGTGAATGATTAACAATGATATTTTGTAATGATGCATGTACACAAGTGCGTTGTGTTAGTGGATTCCAATTTTATTTGAGCAACTTCCATGAATGTTCTGATCTTAAATTGAGAATCAATCTTCAATAAAGGTTTGGAAACCTCACATACATGCTATGCTCTTTTAAGACATTTATCATAATTGGTGGCTTTCATGTTGAAATTCTTACTTTCTTCTTCTTCTTCTTCTTCTGTGTTTTTATTATTATTATTTTTTTCTATCGGTGATTGTTTTATACAGTTCTGCTCTCGTATACTCCTGGTGGAGAAAGAGCGTATAAAGTTTTTGAGTAAGATGAGAAATACCAAAATTGACGCTCTAAAGAAGAGTGAGATCATGAAAATGATAGTAAAAAGGTGTACCGCCATGGCAAGTAGTAAGAAGTTTGTGAAGTGTTCCAGATGTGGATATATAAACGGTTTGTCTTCATACCTCTCTTGGCTTTCTATGTTCATGATATGAATTTTATTTTTTATGTTAAGAAATAATGTAGGACGGTTGATTTTTAAGTAGTCCTCTTAATTTATTTATACACACTGTATGTTTTCTGAGCATATAATTTTTTACTCCTGCATCTGCTGTTATATCATGGCGAGCATGAACTTTGTCTTTTCGAATTTTCACACACACATATCTATATATATTTTACTCCTGTATGGTCTTCTGCTTGTGTTATAACTTATTAGCACAATGTTAATGTTTTCAAAATAAATAAAACATGTTAATAAGCATATCCAATTAAGTATTGAAAGCAGAGTCAAACATGACCATTTTTTTTTTTTTTGATAAGTAAGAATTTTATAAAAAAATGCTCAAAAGGGGAGCGAATCCCATGGAAACAAAAGGCCACAAAACGCCTCAAGCCTTCAAAGAGGCCAAAAAAATAACAATCTCCTCAATAGAACGATAGTCTGTCCTTGAGACCCAACAAAAAAGAGTGGAAACAATGGAGAACTTAAGCATAGACATAGGTTTTTCCTTGCCATCGAAATATCTCCGATTTCTCTCGAGCCAAATGCACCACCAAATACAGAGAGGGGTAGCCCTCCAAGCATCCCGAATGAGAGCCCCAACTGAGACACCTTTCCAAGCCTCAATCAACTCTCTAGAGGAACAGGGCATAACCCATGGGGCCCCAAATAATCCAATCATCAAATCCTAACAATCTCTGGCCATACTGCAATGCAACAAAAGGTGATCCACTGTCTCCTCATCGCGCCGACACAAGTAACAACGATTGATAACCACCTGATTCCTCCTCCTCAAATTATCCTGGGTTAAAATCCTACCCAAGACAGAAGTCCAAGCAAAGAAAGCCACCTTAAGGGGAGCCTTGGAGCGCCAAATAGTCTTCCAAGGGAAAGGACCACTATCGCCAACAGTAAGGCACCTGAAAAAGGACCTCACCTCGAAACGACCCTGAGAATGAGGACTCCAAAGCCAACAATCAGACTCTTCATGAGAAATCACCTGACGATACAGTAACTCCAAAAAACGAGTGACCTCCTCAATTTCCCAATCCTGAAAAACAATGCATGGCTAATTTCCCAACATTTAGGAATGTTATCTGAAACCCAGTCTTATCAGTTCTGGTGACAAATTTGTGTAATCAAAATTTCATTCTTACATGTTTTGTTTGTGAGATGGATCCAATTCACGAGGGTTGCGAATTGAGCCTGACCTCAAATTGAATTTATCTATTAAACAAACTTGGCTGTATATATATTTAAATATTTGTTAAATTAGAAGCTGTAATATTATTGTTACTCATATAACGAGGATGTGCTTGGCATAAGGAGGAGGATTTCTATTATTGAAAGGATAACATTCTAGTCAAAATAAAAATGCAGTATATAAACAAGTTTGGAACTGCTAATAAACAAAAGCAACAGTCCCCAGGAAAGGTAAAAGTGACCCCTAAAAGGTTCAATGTTGCCTGTCTGTCTCTTGTGCAAATTGCATGCCTCCTCGTGACCAATGGGGCTAATAAGTATCTGCCTGTACAATGATAGGCAAGTCCAATGACTTATACTGACTTGATAATGACCAAGAGATTCAATTTTCACTCTTCCAACCAACAATTGAGTTTCCTTCATCAAGCTATGATGAAGCCCCAAGATGATCCTTTAAGGCATTGTGAAAGAACTAATGTTTCTGATATGATTGCACAACTCATTTCCACCGGTTTGGAGAATGGAAGATTTTTTTTCCTTCAAAGGTACAACACTCAATTCATGTTTGGTTAAGTATTGGTATAAGATATAAATATGAAGCATATGTTCCAGTGTGATGGGCAGGGATGAGTACTTGCAATGTCCAATAACCAGGGACATTGGGTATCAAGCTGGGGAGACAACACTTAAAAATGTTAAATGAATCAAACTGTAACGACTCACTCCATCACATGGTATGATATTGTCCTCCTTGGGCCTGAGCCCGCACAGATTTGTTCTTGGGTTTTACCCCTAAAATGCCTCATACCATTTGGACTGTACCGATCCTATATATATAGCACTTCCCCTTTCTACACTTAGGCGATGTGGGATTGTGACCAAGAATGGTAGCATGCCAATGCCTTGCACATCCGCCCACTTGGGTGCTACAATCTACCCCCCTAAGAGGTCCGACGTCCCTGTCGGCACACTTCCGGCTGTTCAAATACCATTTGTAACGACCCACTCCACCACATGGTATGATATTGTACGCTTTGGGCCTGAGCCCGCACGTTTTTGCTCTTGAGTTTTACTCCAAAAGGCCTCGTACCATTTGGAGTGTACAAATCCTACATATATAACACTTTCCCTTTCCACATCCAGGCAATATGGGATTGTGCACTCGTAGACTAACAGTGCCTCGCACCCGCCCCACAAGGTTGCCACACAAACTGTGGCATAGGGCCAACAATTTTTTTATAATTATTCAATTGATCAAATGGATAATAGGAATTTTCTTTTGATTTGGCTGTTTCTGAAGGAAAGGGTTTCATGATCATTAAATCAACTGGAAGATAGCAAATTTAAAGATTTTTTTTCAGCAGTTATGATCTTTGAAGATTGTGTATGCAATTCTTACATTTGGCATGATGGCTAAGGTATTTAAGAAATGATTTCTAATCCATCCTACTTAAATCTTTTGTCTCTCTCTCTGCATCTTCATGCTCATAAATTTGCACGACTAGTTCTTCTTAGCCTTTGTTATACCTCAAAAAAACAGAATTGATAAGTGTTAGCAGATACGATAGCCATGATTTATGGAATGACTTACCATATTAGTAGAGATTTAATTATGCTATAGAGTATGCTTTGATTTGATTTAGATTTGATTTATTTTCCTTTCTTGTAATATGAGCATAGTGCTCTTTTTATCTATAAATATTAGAATTGTGAATGAGTTATTTATCTCATTCAGGCCTTTACACAATTCTCTCATTTTTCTTTTATATTATATTTCTACTTGGTATTAGAGCCTGGGTGGTCTGACTGCAATGAGGGCATTGCGAGTTCGGCACCACCCATTTGGGAATGGTTTAATGACCATCCGGGAGGTGTCGGGTAGGCAGGGTGGTCCGACGTCAACGAGGGCGTGCGAGTTTGGCACCACCCATTCAGAAATGGTTTGAGGAGACATATATATATTTTTAATTTTTTTTTTTTTTTTATGGTCTGAGGAGACATTGTTGATTCTTCCATCTACATATTGTAAACAAGTGAAGGGGAATGGTCTGAGGAGATATTGTTGATTCTTCCATCTACATGTTTTAAACGAGTGAAGGGGAATGGTTTGAGGAGACATGATTGGTTGTTTATGGTCCGAGGAGACATGATTGGTTGTTTATGGTCTGAGAAGACATTTTTGATTTGTTGATCGACACTTCATTAGAGAGAATCGTCGCTAGTCAGATTTGCACTCTGCAACTTGTAGATTCTGAAGAAGGGTGCTAGCAAGACCGTGTTTGAAGATGCGTTGTCCAAGTTGGGCGTCTCAGATATCCACGCACCAACTTGAGGGGGAGTATTAGTAGATATGATAACCACGATTTATGGAATGACTTACCATATTAGCATAGATTTGATTATGCTATAGAATAGTTAGAATATGCTTTGATTTGATTTATTTTACTTTCTTGTAATATGAGCATAGTGCTCTTTTTATCTATAAATACTAGAGTTGTGAATGAGTGATTTATCTCATTCAAGTCTTTACACAATTCTCTCATTTTTCTTCTATATTGTATTTCTACTATTTGCCTTTTCCCTTCCCTCTTTGAGACTTAACTAGAGCAACCAAAAAGAGGTGAACCAACATTGTACTGCTAGGTCTCAGAACAAACCTAAAACTTCATTTTGTATCTTGAAACTTTGCATGGTAGTTTATTTCTTAACAATTTTTATACATGGGCTTAAACTTGAAATGTGAGTAGTGTTGTAACACATCATTTGTAATATGTTGAATAGTTATAATTCATGCAGAATTCAAACTTTTGCAACTCTCTCTGTTGTCTTGTTTATTTTAAAGTGGCCATTATATTTGAATTTTAAACTTCCACCATGTTCTCATTTTATTAGTCAATGCAAGGAAATTGAATGTCATGTTCTCTAATGCATAGCTTTACAAGACATTTGGTTCGATTTTTGGTTCTCTTGACGTAAATGTTTGGCACTTAATTTGTCGTTTAAATGTCACAGTACTTCTGGTGAATGTTATTTCCTATTTGTTTAACACTTTTGGTTATTATTTTCTATGATTCTTATTTATTTTATAAATCAAAAGTATCTTACAGTAAGCGATGCAGTGTAATATATGACATGGAGAATGTAGAATTTGATAATTTAGGAAAATTTGATAGGTTTCTTTTTGTGATTTGACAACTATGTATATGATATTTCTGAAGTTCCTCACCTCACACCGTTGAAGGAAACTAAGGTCATACCTGCTGTAGAGGTCCTCATGAACTTTGATATTGTAATGGGATTTTTTGGATTGTAGACAACCCTCAATGAGCTCAACGAATAATTTTTATGGGATCTTGTGACCGTTTGGGCTATACACAACCTATGGTTTTGAGTAAGTATGGACCGAAATTATCACTAAATGGGTTATGATTTTGTTACAAACTTCTTTAGTCCTTTTAGGAGTCCACAGCATCCACGCCTGATCCTCAAGTTTACGTTTCCTGTAAGTTCCCCAGTAATTATTCTCTAACTTTTCTTCTTTTTTTTTTTTTCACTTGTTTTTCATGGTTTTATCTGTTATTTCTTTGTAATAGAATATTAGAGTTGACATCCCTCAAAAATTGTTCCCAGTAAGTATGCTTTTAGTGTTTCCTGAAAATTGTCTTCTTTTTTCATCCTTCTTTTGAGACCCCAAGCCTCTCATGTCCCCATCCATTTAGGACAAAGGCAAGGATGATGATGATGGAGTTCCCAGTAGACCTACAATTAACCTTAAGAGGCTAAGAGACAAGTCTATTTTGTTTGAAGTACTTCCTTCTGAACACTTTGCTAATTGAATCTAGAATGAGCCTTGTTAGACAATGGTTGAATGACTTCTATCCCATTTTAATAATTCGAGAATGAGGAAAGGTTTCAATCTTTCTGATCCTCTTTATTGGAGTCCCTTGTCTATAAGAACTAGATGGTTAGCAAATAACTGAGCTATAATCACCTAATAATTGAAATTCTTACTGTAAATGTGTTCTTCTAGAGAATATCACTACTGCTAGAGACTAGTTCAGTCTCAGAGAGATAACCGACACCTAGGCTGTGATACGTTATAGACTTCAGATTCAGACTACTAATATAGAATAAAGGCAATTAGAATCTAACTCTTAGTTTCTAAACCCTAGAAACACCTCTAATTGTTCCAGTGAAATCTCTCTTGGGTTGAGACAACTTAATTAGCTAACTTTTAAAAACATAAACAACTAAAATAAAACATTAGAAACTCCATTTTTACGAAGTTTGGCAACCAAATTCTTATTAATCTGGCACCATCATGCACTTAGGAAGATATTTACCTGCAATAAATACTAGGGAAGTTTGGTTCAGAATCAGGGTCAGAAAGTTTAGGCTTCGAATTAACTTGACAGTCATTCTCTCCCAAGAGGTCAGGGCTCTCTTATAAAATGTCAGACTTTAGATGAAGGCTATCATTGAAGTACTGTGTTTCACCCTGCTTCTGAGGTTAAAAAAAAAAAAAAAAAAAAAAAAAACACTTGTGCACTTTGTTAATTCAACAGATGGATTTTCTGGAGGTTTTACAGATTGGTCTTTGAAAAACTTAGAGATGTGGCTGGACAGGACATGTGGACTGGAATTTTGGTTATTAACGGGAGTCAAGTGCTTGGTGTCGGTCTTATCTTTTGCTTTAAGTTTAAGACTTTTCTTGAGAAGTGATATCTTCTTCTTGGAGCCATAGATCCTTTGATCTGGGCTCATTTGATTGCACTTCCATGAGAGTCTACATGCCAGTTTATCTTCTCTAGACAGTTTTAACTTTTATTGTTTCTAGGATCTTTCAGTAATAACTCCTTGTTTTATAAAGAAATGAATATTTGGTTTCTTACCCCAAAAAAATTTAAAGAAGAAAATATATTGATCTTGAAGTGCATACTTACAGTTGCCATTGTAAATTATTGAAAATGAAGTGTTGATGTACGTTTTTGGTTACCTTCTTTTTGTTGAAATGCTCGATGAGTTGTCTATTTTTAATTGATTTTGTTATTCTTATCATAGTGTTGCCATTGTAAATTAAGCTATGTACATGAAATATTAATAGTCTTCAATTCTTCGATTACTTATTATTATTATTTGTAAATGCTCAATGAGTTGTCCATTTATAATTGATTTCGATATTATTTAATAGGACCGTGTTAGTGAAATAAAATGTTAAAGTAGGGGTTCTTGTGTTATGTGGAAATGATTGTAGTACAATTTAACTTTTATTGTTTCTAGGATCTTTCAGTAATAACTCCTTGTTTTTTAAAGAAATGAATACTTGGTTTCTTACCCCAAAAAAATTTAAAGAAGAAAATATACTGATCTTGAAGTGCATATTACTGTTGCCACTGTAAATTATTGAAAATGAAGTGTTGATGATAGTCTCAGTACGTTTTTGGTTACCTTGTTTTTGTTTAAATGCTCGATGAGTTGTCTATTTTTAATTGATTTTGTTATTCTTATCATAGTGTTGCCATTGTAAATTAAGCAATGTACATGAAATATTAGTAGTCTTCAATTCTTCGATTACTTCTTATTATTATTTGTAAATGCTCAATGAGTTGTCCATTTATAATTGATTTTGATATTATTTAATAGGAACGTGTTAGTGAAATAAAATGCTAAAGTAGGGGTTCTTGTGTTTTGTGGAAATGATTGTAGTAATGTTACAGATGTGCTTGCTAAAAAGAAAAGATATTTAATGAAAAATCTCGTTTCTATCAGAACATCTAATTTATGTTAAATGTTAAGAAATTAGTAATCACTTGGTCACTTCTAATGTTGTCTTGCTTCTTGAATGAGATATCGGTCCTACATAAAGAAGTCAACGAGGTTTATACCACCCACAACAAAAATAAGCTGTTTTTGTATTTGTTGTTGGTCTATGTTACTTGCATAGGATATGTTATAGTTGGGGACTCACTCTAGTTGCCTTTCAATACTCTCTTGTCAATAAAATATTACTTTGTTTACAACCCCCGCCCCGCCCCCCCCCCCCCACCAAAAAAAAATAATAATAATAATAATAATCAATTGTTGATCATGATACATGGAAACATATTCAGGTTTGTTTCAAAAGCCTAAATCATTGCAAATTCTGGAGTTACAGATCATGGCTTCTGCTTTGTGTACCTGTTAAGAGCTCACTGTATTAAGAAAGCAAAACTTTGTAGTGATTGTCTATATTGTTACATGTTTCAGGTATGGTGAAAAAAAATATAGGCACGTTGGGAGTCATTCATGATCGTGCTAAAATTATTGACGATACTTTGGAAGAATGCAGGTCTGCTATTTCTCACACAAAGGAGTCCAAGTCATCCGTTAATGTGACTCCTATATTAAACCCAGACACAGTTCTTTCCCTTTTTAAGAAGATGCTGGATATGGTATTACATTGTCTGTTGTAACTATTAATTTATGAGATTTATGAAGTTTTCTTACATGTCTTTTTTTTTTTTGGTTGTGTTTTTTGCAAATTTGAGAGTAGTGTATGCAAATGTCAGGATATCTCAAACAGTAGTTAGTATATACACCTGCATTGCCTTTTCTTTTTAGTATGATATTTTCCATTTTGCTGTGCCGCAGGACTGTGAATTGCTATATATCAGTGATAGACCGGAGAAACTAATTGTAACAAATATTGCAGTGCCGCCAATAGCTATCCGTCCTTCTGTCTTTGTGGATGGTGGAACTCAGAGGTCATCTCAATCAAGAATTTACTTATATCTTCTTTACTTTTATTTTTATTTTGTCAAGATGTGAATTTGCTTTTTGTTACTTCGTCATCAAATTTGATTATGTTGATGGCAATAGGGATGCAACTTGGTTCAGGTTGGTCCATTTCATGGTCAACTCTAGAACTAACCAACTTGATTCAATCAACACTTTCCAACCCTGAACAGAACATTGCTTAGGCAAACTGAAGCAAATGAAAAAGCTTAAGCTGGTTATTAACTACCATCTACTCTAAAAGCTTAAGCTATTAGAGAGGGTGTAACTTGAATATTTAAATCCTTCAACATGCCCCCTCACGTGTGGCCTTCTTTTGGTCCAACACGTGTTTCAAATTTTAATTATTAGGGTGACGGTGAGGTTTGAACTCGAGACCTTTGGCTGTGATACCAGGTTAACGACCATCTCCTCTAAAAGCCTAAGCTACTAGAGAGGATGTAACTTTAATATTTAAATTATTCAACACTCATTATGCCAGTTCAGATACTATAGATGTGAAATCTGAACTTCCGTAACCGTTGCTTCACGATGTGGGCTAAGCATCCAGTAATCAGATAGAGCCAACCCTATTTGCCCTAGGCCATAAGAACATGGAACGGAATTGTTCTAGATAAGAGTAGATAGAATATGGTCTTGCCCATTGGATGTGTGGGATAAGCAACCCACAATCTCGTAAAACACATTCTCAGGCTCCTCCATTGTTTTCTTGTCTTGTTTTGCCTCACTAGATTATACCACATCTCACAGAGCAAAACATGTCATAAGAATTATGTGCAACTTGGTACACGGTAAGATAGGGTATTTATTATTGTTTTAAAGCTGAATGAAAAGGTTGGTTCTTGGTTGGTTTGGGTAAACCAGCTGAGAATTTAACCAAATTGATGTTGTCTCTAAGCTACCTGACCCAGGGGGCCAGGACTGTGAGTTGAACATAACCAACACTAGGGGTTCCTTACTTTGGGCTTGGTTGCACCATATATGGTAGTACTACAATGATGCTCAAGTATCTTTTTGTTCCCTGTTACAGTAATGAGAATGACATTACGGAGAGGTTAAAACGAATTATCCAAGCAAATGCTATTCTTCACATGCAATTATCGGAATCAAGCTCCACTGCCAAAAGTCTGGTATGAAATGCTTTGTAGTTGTTGTCCTCTTTGAGATTATCAAGTTTTTTCATCTCTTTAGATGCTTTTAGATATTGCAATAACATCTTGTGATATTTTCATTGACATTGATTTTCTTTTTGGTAGCATTTTCTAACATGCCTCGCTCAAATTTATTATTATTTTTTTTAATGTATTATGTCTATGTCTTGCATACAATGTTGCATTGACACGGAATTTTAGGAGAAATATCACAAATCATGGCTACGAGCCTCACCGATAAATAGAATACACTTATGCATGCAAAATGATAATCTATACTCTACATATCTTTTGTAGGCATGAATGCAAATTCACTTTCTTTCATTTTTTATATGTACTATAAACATATATTTTGTAATACATTAGGTATGGGTGTAATGGGTTGGTTATCATATTTTAGCACCATGTTTATCTTCATGGAACTCCTTTAGCAATATTATATAAATGTCAACCTATTTTTCTTGTTTCTTATGTGTTGATTAGAAGACTATATTTTATTGCGTGTAGTACCATGCCTTTTTTTTTTTTTTTTCTCTTTTTTAGGGGGAGGAGGCATGGAGTTTTGTGTGTGTCCACATGAATAATATGCTTATGTGCTTTTTGGTGTTGCGCTGGCACATACATTTTCTTGTATGATGCTTGCATATCAAACAATACACACACACACACTCATATATATATATAAGGCATACATGTGTAGCAATACATCTTATGAATTTGCAGGCACATGATTAAGATGACTCCTCTCCTTCTCCAACCCCTACTTCGTTGAATCGTTGATAAAGTATTCATTATTATTTTCTTAAAACCTTTTAAATTTTTTTTTATATGAAACGTTAGTATGGGGTATTACCCAGTTTTGGTCCTACTACAGTTGGGTATTGAGGATGGGGACTTGAGATAAATCTTTGTTGTTTAGCTGCTTTGGGGCTCAAACTCACGTTAGTGGCACAAATGCTCAAGCAATAGACCACACACAAGACCTTAGTTTGTTTTCTTTAATTAACTACTACTAAAAGGAATTTGTATTCAAACTTCTGAGATTTGTTGATCACTTTTGGGTAATGTCCAAGGTGTGTTGGTACTCAAAAAAAAAAAAAAAAAAAGGGTCCAAGGTGTGTTGGCCAGGTCTCTAAAGTTACTGTGCAGGTGCCAAGATGCATGCATAGATACGTCATGCATGCATAGATACATAGATAAATGCTTGTATCATATTAATCATATAATACAAACAAAAATACATGTGTGTACAAAAACTGAGTTCTATATTCCATTAGCTTCTTCATTAGTGCCTTATTCTGAAGAAAATATTTGAAACAATTACTTGTGACATGTTGGCTCAGCTTGGTTGGGCTGATCTGCAAATGGAGGTTGCACAGTATATAAACAGTGATGTACGTGGTGTACCACAATATATGCAAATAGCCAAGCCATTGAGTGGTTTTGTTCAGCGACTCAAAGGGAAGCAGGGACGTTTCCGTGGAAACTTGTCTGGGAAGCGTGTTGAATATACTGGCAGGACTGTTATATCCCCTGATCCTAATCTGAAAATTACCGAGGTCAGGCATTGTACTGAAGTCTGGGTAACTTTTGGGCTGTTTATATGTTTGTTCTAACATGTTCATTCGGTCCAGGTTGCAATACCTATCTTAATGGCTAAGATCTTAACTTATCCTGAGCGTGTTTCACATCATAATATTGAGAAGTTGAGGCAGTGTGTTCGCAGTGGGCCTAATAAATATCCTGGTGCGAGGTTTATCAGAAAATGTGATGGTACCTTGATGTAAGGATTGTCGTTCTTCTCATTTTTATTCTGATTGACATATACTTTCTGTTAGTGTACCATGATTGCATGTTTTGTGCTGCAGCTCTTTGATGTTCTGTCCCCTGAAACGCGTTGCTGATGAATTAAAATTTGGTGATATAGTGGAGCGTCATTTGGAAGATGGGGACATTGTTCTTTTTAACAGGCAACCAAGCTTGCATCGGATGTCAATCATGTGCCATAGGGTGACTACAATTAAAGAGCAAATCTAGTTTAGGATGTCATTTTATGGTTGTTTTATTAACTTACCGCCTTTTTTGCTTGCAGGCAAGAATAATGCCTTGGCGTACGTTGAGATTCAATGAATCAGTGTGCAACCCGTACAACGCTGATTTTGATGGTGATGAGATGAATATGCATGTCCCGCAAACGGAAGAGGCTCGCACTGAGGCTCTTATGTTGATGGGGGTAAATTTTATTAACTCCATCTGTTACATGGATCTATGGATTTTACGTAGCAGCAATATTTGCCGATACTAATTTTGTGATCGAAAGAAACCTAACTGCTAGCTCCTTGCTTTTTTGCTGAGTAGTTTTATTGAAGATTTAATAGAATAAATAGCGGAGGAAAATCCTTCAGTAATTGATATAGTTTCCTATCATTGAAGATTTACTGTTAATAGGGGAATCAGTGGAGAAAAAACTTTATCCTTTCCTTTTTTCTCTCTTTCCATTCTCATCATTTCTTCTCCTATTTAGAGGAGCCTCCACCATTGTATTGTATATCAGTTGAGAGAGTATTATAAAAGTGTTGTAGCCCTTTGGGCTCTTTGTGTCGTGGATGTAGGCCCTAGTGGCTAAACCACGTATTATCTGTGCGTTCTACTTGTTTGATTTATCTCTTCACTTCTGTTTTATACTTCACAACATTGTATTAGAGCCTAATTTCTCTTCTTAGGTTCAGACCCCTATTTTGGGGTATTCCTTTGGCATCTGAAATGTTGCTAAGGGTTTCTCAGTGCTATTTGTGACTTGCTTGGGCTGCCGGTGTGTTTGGTAGTATTGTCTTTGCCTTTGACATGTCTCTGGCAGTTTTTATTGACTTGTTTGGGCTGCCGCTGTGTTCGGTAGCATTGTTCTTTGCCTTTGCCGTGTCTCCAGCAATTTTTGTTGACTTGTTTGGGCTGCTGTGTGTTCGGTAGCATTGTTCTTCGTCTTCTCTCTTCATCATTCACACTTGCTGCTACTCGTCATCTTAGTGGCAAGTTGGGCATTTATGCTCCAACTTGAGGGTGTAAATAGTGACAATAATTATGCCTTACAATGAGGGATTATATTAGCTAGCATTGACTTACCCTAAATAAAGTTGCTGTAATTATGGGATTAGATTAGTTGACTTACCTTTTAGATAGCTGCTGTAATTACTACTCCTTGATTGTAGCCACTTTGTTCGGCAAATCTTGTATTATAAATTGTAATGAGAACCAAATGGAACGTATCACTTCACATCCGAAAATTTGTTGTGGCTCTGTTTTCTCTTTTTTACAAGGGGGAGTATTGAAGATTTAATGGGAGAATCAGCGGAGGAAAATCCTTTAGTATTGATATAGTTTCCTATTATTGAAGATTTACTATTTATGGAGGAATCAGTGGAGAAAAATCTTTTTCCCTTCCTTTTTTCTCTCTCTTTCCATGCTTGTCATTTCTTCTCCTATATAGAGGAGCCTCCACCATTGTATTGTGTATGAGTTGAGAGAGTATTATAAAAGTGATGTAGCCCTTTGGGCTCTTTGTGTGAACCATGTAATATATGCGTGTTCTACTCGTTTGATTTATCTCTTCACTTATGTTTAATGCTTTACAACAAGTTTACTGAACACTTACTAGGCAACCAAGATAGTTCATTGCTCATTGTAGATTGTTGTATCCTTGTGAAGTTATTTAAGATTTTAAATGTTTAGTTAATTAACTGATTTCAGTGAATTTCTTAGTTTAGCTCTCTTGCTTAATTGTACAATTCCCTGATTCAATGTGTTTCTCAATGTATTTCTTCACTGGCATAGTTCTTCTTCAAAAGCTTAATTAGTAATGTTAAAATTTTTATGGTGCCTGAAAAAATGTAGTGCTAGTGAAGAAGTCAAAGAGCTATTCTTGTTCTAGAGAAGTTTTAAGGTTTAGAGTTTCTAAGGGATAGCTTAGGACAATTGAAGTGTAATGTAGTTTGGAAGTTGGAAAATGTCAAAAATACTACATGGGAACTAAATCGATGTTATTGTGTTGTACAACTTGTATTGGAATTCTAAAAGCGTGTTTAGAAGATATTATGTTATTAGTTGTTATAATATTGAAGGAACAACATCCTTTCTTTGATGTAACAACCTAATTAGGTCATCTGTCTTATATTAGCAGAATGATGCCGATTATTAAGAAAAGGGAAACAAAAAAAATGCATGCATGTTGCTGAAATAAGAATAATGAGATGGATGATAGGATAGATTCGGAAATAGAGAGTGCATGTGGTTTGCTTGCAGGAGACCAAGCTGGATGTGGAGGAGGCTAAGGTTATGAAAAGTCTGGGTGGGGTGCGGGGGTGTTTGGATTTGTGGATTGGGAGGTTATTGATGCGGAGGGACCTGCTGGGGGCACTGCTGTTCTTTGGGATAGGAGGTGGGTTTTTGAAGGTTGATGTTTGGAAAGGGAGGCATTCATTATCATTATTATTTGAGTTTGAGGAAAATGGTTCGAAGTGGTGTTTTTCGGGGGTCTATGGGCCTGTTGGTGATGTGGAGCGTAGAGAGTTGTGGGTAGGGGTGCATAAAAAAACCGGAATCGTAGAACCGGAACCGGAACCGTCGGAACCGGAACCATTTTTCACGGTTCTCACGGTTCCAGTTCCGGTTCCAAATTTAGGAACCGTGTACATACGGTTCCAGTTCCAGCCTGTGGGAACCGGTAATAACCGGAACCGTATGTATATATATATATATTATAATGTATAATTATATATATATTATATAAAATTAACCGTGTATATATATATATACCTATTTTTTTTAGTTTTTTGCCCTAATTTGAGCCTCAGCCTCCCCAATCGCCTCCAATCTCCATCTCTATTCTCTTGACTCTGAACTTGCCCTCTCTCTCTCTCTGCAACTATAAGTCTGTAAACTACAAAATCTAGTGGTTTGAGAGATGATACTGATAGATCAGCTCTTGGGTGCGAGGCTCCTTCAGTTGATGAGGTGGAAGATTCAAGATTATGCAGCAGAGATGAAAAGCTGGGATTAGTAATTTAGTACAGATGTACCAAGCTCATCTCTTTCCGATGTCGAAACCTAACCCGTCTGAAGCTCTGTGCTTGCCGAGAGTTAACCGACGCCGGCATGTTGGTCAATTAAGGACATCATTATCCGACGCTCCTGATCTCCCTGACTACATCTCCAACCTTCCCGACGAGTGCTTAGCTTGCATATTCCAGTCGCTTGGCTCCGGTAATCGGAAACGATGCTCTCTCTTCTGTCGCCGGTGGTTTCAGATCGAGGGACAGAGCCGTCACCGTCTTTCTCTCAACGCCCAAGCCAATCTGCTCTCGGTGGTTCCGTTTCTGTTTTCGAGGTTCGATGCGGTGACTAAACTCTCTCTGAAATGCGATCGCAGATCTGCGAGCATCGGCGACGAAGCTCTCAAGCTCATCTCTTTCCGATGCCGAAACCTAACGGTCCTAACCCATCTGAAGCTCCGTGCTTGCCTGAGAGTTAACGGTTCCATGGGAACCGAACCGGAACCGTACCATTTCTACAGTTCGGTTCCGGTTCGGTTCCATGTTATACGGTTCCGGTTCTGTTTTCAAGGAACCGTCATGAACGGTTCCGGTTCTAGCCGGAACCGTGAGAACCGGAACCGTGTGCACCCCTAGTTGTGGGAGGAACTGGGTAACATTAGAAGCAGATGGGTGGTTCCGTGGTGTGTTAAGGGGGACTTTAATGCTGTTCTTAACACGAGTGAGAGATCTTCTAGGGGTGCGTGGGATAGAGCAATGGCCGATTTCTCTGATTTTGTGGAAGCTAACAGGTTGTTGAATCTTCCCATGGTGGGAGGCGCATTCACATGGTCGAGTGGGCGTGATCCTCCTTTTTCTCGACTGGATAGATTTCTTCTTTTAGTGAAGATAGAGGAGAAGCTTCCGGATGTGGCTCAAGTGGCGTGTGTGCGGGCAATCTCTGAGCATGTTCCTATTTTGCTTGATTGTGGAGGGATTAGGAGAGGAAGATCCCCATTAAGATTTGAAAACATGTGGCTCCGAGTGGGAGATTTCAAAGAAAGGGTCAAGAACTGGTCGTATGCATATGATGTTAGGGGTAATCCAAGTTTTCAATTGGCATCAAAGTTGAGACGCTTAAAGGGAGACATCAAGGTCTGGAATAAGGAAGTGTTGGCAAGCTGGAATGGCGGAAAAATTAGCTCTTTATGGAAATTTCAGAGTTGGACAAGAAGGAAGGTGTTGAGGGGATTTCGGTGTTGGAGAGTAGTAGAAGGGAGGAGTGCAAGGTTGAGTTTGAAGAGACTGTAGTGATGGAGGAAGTTTCGTGGAGATAGAAGTCTAGAGCCCTGTGGCTTAAAGAAGGTGATCGGAATACTAATTTTTTTCACCGTTTAGCTAACGCTCATAGAAGAGGGAACAACATTGGGAGGATAAGTTTTGATGGAGTTATGGTTGAAACTAAAGAGGAGATCCGGACAGGCTTTGTGTCATATTACTAGGATATGCTCACAGAGTCTGCCTCTTGGAGACTGCGGTTGGATGATAATGAGTTTAATGCAATTTCTGATGAGGAAAAGATGAGTTTGGAGAGGCCATTTGGGGAGGAGGAAGTGTTGGAAGCTCTAAGGAGCTGTGACGGAGATAAAGCTCCGGGTCCGTACGGGTTTACAATTGCGTTTCTCCAAAAGAATTGGGAGGTGGTGAGAGCGGATGTGATGAGAGTCATGCATGCCTTTTTTGAGGAGGGTTGTTTTGAGAAGAGTTTGAATGCCTCTTTCATTACCCTTGTACCTAAAAGGGTGGAGCGGTTGAAGCTAAGGATTTCAGATCAATTAGTTTGGTGGGCTTTGTTTATAAGATTATTTGCGAAGTTCCTGGCTATTAGGCTAAGGAAAGTTTTGGATGGGGTCATTTCGGAGTCACAAAATGCGTTCGTTGGAGGAAGACAAATTCTTGACCCAGTTCTTATTGCCAGTGAATGTATTGATGCTAGATTCAAGAGTGGTGAGCTAGGGATTGTTTGTAAATTGGATATTGAG